CAAATTACACTGTAGGATGCAGTAAGATAAGCCTTGTCTGAAGGGAATAGGGAACTGTCGATAGTGGCTTAACAAAATGGCCATGAAACCAGTTCTTGTAAAGACAACAGTCGAAGTTCCAAGAATATTTGATGTCATGGTTGCATGGTATGCAAACATCCCACTCGTATGGTTCTGCATACAACAAGCATGTTCCATTAGCGGATGTATATAGCAAAAGATAAGACAATGGTTGCTTCTGTCCTCGGGGCAAGATTTGGAGAAAGAGAGAGAGAGATATGTTTTTGCAGCTTACCTTGAAGGCTTGGCCAAGATTTGGTGGCATTTCACCACCAACAATGGTTACTTCTGTCCTCATGGCACTGTATACATCAGTGAGACTCAGCTTTCAAAGGGAACCTGAAAATGAAGTGAAATTTTCCTACGCGTGTAGAGTTGTGGTTCAAGCCCTTAGGAATATCAGCTTCGGCCTCGAGTAAAATCCATCAAATAAACCCACTATATGAGCTCATTAAACGATTAAGAAAAAGGCTTACTTTCCATGTGCAGTTTCGCCAGAAAGCATCACCGCATCAGCATCTTCTCTAACAGCAAGTCCGAGACCTCTGCCCGGGTTGTAGTTGGATGAACTATCATACTCTCAAGCATATTGGTCGCAACAATAACAACTTTTTATGCTACGACACAGTGTAATAATCTCCTCCCGTAAATCAAAATCAATCAACCCATTGGACTCATCTCATTCAAATCACAGATCTTCATTTCGCGTGTGTGCATGTCCGTATATGTAGGGGTGTTGATCGCGAAGGTTTCGGGCGCGGACCGGCCCGATTTTTTTCGGACCTAAGTAGTTAAGTGTGAAGCCGACCCTATATATACCGGGCTCAGGTCGGGCCGGGCCGGTCCACATAAATCCTTTGTAAATCTTTTTTTTTTCTCTTTTTATTTTTTAAATATCGGGCTTTCAAGCCAGTCCAACTCTAGACCGAAGCCCAATTCGAGCCCAACCCAAAAGTCCGATTTTTTTCGGGTCGAGAAACTTAGGTCCAAAGCCCCCTAATTTTCGGGTTGGACCGAGGCGGGCTTTGGGTGTCGAACCAAAATTGACACCTCTGTGTATATATAGGGGTGGCCATTTCGGTTATTAACCGAATAACCGAGCTAAACCGGACCGAATAAGATATAACCATACCCAAATTGAACCTGACATCAAAACCAACCGATTATGATTTTCTTAAACCCGAAAAAACCGAAACCAAACCGAACCGAATAAAAAAATAATAAAAAACCCGATAATTTCTTTGAAAAAATAAACTTTTTATCGAATCCGAACCGAAAAATAACCAAACCGTATAGAGGGCATATATGTAATCTTATGTTATTATGATTAGGTTAACTCACTTGTATAAATACTCTAATGATTGTTAATAAAGTTAAGCCACTTTCACAAATGTTATATGGTATCAGAGCTAAATAAACCTAAGGTCTCTTTTCCAATCATCTTTTCCCACCGCCGACACTGCAAACATGTCCTCCGATGATGCCTCCGCAACTCGCACTATCGAAGCTGCTTCTACATTCAATCCGACTATGCCACAAAAGGGCCTCCTCTTTGTTAACATGTCGAACATCACTCGACTCACCAATATGAACTACATTACGTGGAGTATTCAGGTCCGAACTCTTCTTGGACATGTGCGAGAATCTTGTCTCTGTGAACAAGTTGTGTTCGACTAATGATGTTTCCGTAGAATTTTTCTCTTCTGAGTTTCAACACGGGGGTGCCAATCCTACGAGGTCGAAGTAAGGATAGAGTGTATGAGTGGGCGTCTGACAGTTCCCCTCCGCGTCTCCTTTCGCTTTCTCGTGTTCTAAGTCCAATTTGTCCGAGTGACATTCTCGTCTAAATCATCCAGCTTTATCTATTTTAAAGAGTGTCTTGTCGAAACTTGAGTTGTCGTTATCTCGGGAGTCTTCTCCTTTACTTTGTCATTCTTGCAGTGGTAATAAAAGTCACAAGCTTTCTTTCTCTTCCTCGACTCTTTCTTCTACCAAACCTTTTGAGATTATTTTTTCGGATGTGTGGATGTCTCCTGTTCATTCGGTTGATGGGTTTAAATACTATGTTCTTTTCGTTGATCATTTCACTCGTTATTCATGGATATATCATTTGAAACAAAAATCTCATGTTTGTGCCACCTTTAAAAGATTTAAACCGCTTATAGAGAACAAGTTCAATTCCAAAATTGTAACCCTTTACATCGATAATGGCGGCGAGTTTCTCGCCTTGTCGTCGTTTCTTGCCTCTCACGGCATCTCTCACCTCACTACTCCTCTGCATACTCCCGAGCAGAATGACATTTCTGAACGTCGTCACCATCATATAGTCGAAACCGGTTTGTCTCTTCTTATGCATGCGTCTATCCCTGTCAATTATTGGTTATATGCCTTTACTACTGCAGTTTATCTTATCAACCATATGTCAACCCCAATTCTTAGCATGACCAGCCCATATGAGCGTTTGTTCTCCGTTGATCCAAACTATTCGAAACTTCGTGTGTCGAGTGTTTATGTTATCCTTGGCTCTGTCCCTATACATCGCACAAACTCGATCCTCGATCGAAAGCGTGTATCGTTCTTGGCTATTGTCCAACATAGAGTGCTTATTTTTTTGTTTTGAATCACACTCGTCTAGGATGTTTGTGTCACGTCATGTCCAGTTTCACGAGTCTGCCTTTCCGTTCGCCTCTCTTTCAGGTCGGCCACCTTCAGTTAATCTAGAGTTCGAGTCGTCATATCCTGTCGGTCCTCCGGCTCAACCTGTCGTTTCCTTTCGCCAGCCACTCGACACTCCATCACCGGTTCAGTCCCCGAGCTCCGATCCTTCGCCAACTGCTCCACCTACAGACTCAGAAATCTCGGTCTCTCGGCCTTTGGCTCTCGCTCCCAGTGAAGTTTCGGAGACTGTTTCGTCTGTGCTGCAGAACGTCCATCCCATGAAAACGTGAGCTAAGAACAACATCTCGAAGCCCAACCCGAAGTACACACTCACAGTCTCGGCTTCTTCATCAGCGATGGAACTGTCTTCGGTTACTCATGCCATTAAAGATCCTAAGTGGAGAGCTGCTATGTCTGAGGAATTTAAGGCTCTTTGTCGAAACAACACATGGGTTCTTGTACCAAGTTCTGAGGCTTCGAATGTTGTGGGTTGCCGTTGGGTTTTCCGGATCAAGCGCAAACCGGATGGTTCTATGGATATGTACAAAGCTCGTTTAGTTGCTAAGGGGTTCTATCAACGCCCAGGGGTTGACTATACTGAAACGTTTAGTCCGATTTTTAAATCGACCATCATTGGAGTTATTCTCAGCCTTGCTATCTCTCGTGGTTGGATCTTGCATCAACTTGATGTTAATAATACCTTCTTACAAGGCAATCTCAGTGAGGAAGTTTATTTGTCGCAGCCGTCGGGGTTTATTGATCAAGCATCTCCTCTCTCGGTTTGCAAGCTCAAGAAAGCTACCTATGGTCTCAAACAAGCACCGAGGGCTTGGTACTCGGAGCTTCGTAATTTTCTCGTGGCAAGTGGTTTTCGGAACTCGGTTGTCGATGCCTCATTGTTCATATATACCTCGGATGGAGTACAACTATTTGTTCTTGTCTATGTCGATGATCTCATTGTTACCGGCAATTGTCAGCACCGTGTGGGAAGCTTTATCTCGGACCTTGTAGCTCGATTTTCCATCAAGGACCTCGGGAATTCTCGTACTTTCTCGGTATTGAGGCAACTCGCTCGGACGAAGGGCTTCTTCTCACACAACGCAAGTACATTGCATATCTTCTTGCTCGTGCTCGAATGTCGGATGCTAAGTCTGTCTCGACCCCGATGGCAGCCTCTTCTCGGTTGATTATCATGTCTGGCTCGGCTCTTGATAATCCTACGGAGTACCGAGCCATGGTTGGCAGCTTGCAGTATCTTTCTTTGACACGTCCCGACATCAGTTTTGTAGTGAATAAACTCTCTCAGTTCATGCACTCTCCCACAGACGAGCATTGGCAAACTGTCAAGCGGATACTTCGATATCTTGTGGGTACTCGAGATCATGGGGTCTTCTTCTCGACTTCCAGTTCTCCTCCGACTGGGTAGGTGATAAATTTGATTTCAAGTCTACTGGTGCTTACATTGTCTATCTTGGCAGTCATCCGATCTCTTGGTCCTCGAAGAAGCAACAAGATCTTTCTCGGTCCTCTACCGAAGCAGAATATCATTCTGTTGCATCTACGACAGCTGAGGTTCGATGGATTCGATCTCTTCTTTAGGAGCTTGGTTGCGGTTCCTCTACGGCCCCGGTTATATATTGTGATAATCTTGGAGCCACATATCTTAGTGTGAATCCTGTATTCCACTCTCGCATGAAACACATCACTTTGGATTACGTTTTTGTCCGCAGTCTTGTTGAGAGTGGTGATCTACGTGTGTCTCATATATCTGCGACCGACCAGCTCGCGGATGCACTCATGAAACCATTGTCGGGTCCTTCTTTTCTTGATTTGAGGGTCAAGATTAGATTCATCTCGGATATTCCATCTTGAGGAGGCGTATAAAGGGCATATATGTAATCTTATGTTATTATGATTAGGTTAACTCACTTGTATAAAATACCCTAATGATGGTTAATAAAGTTAAGTCACTTTCACAAACGTTATAAATCGAACCGAACAAAATTTTATATAAAAATCGAATGGTTATAGTTTTTTTATAAACGAAATAATCGAATCCAAATATAATTGAACTGAACGAGAACCGAAACCCGAAATAGTCACTCTAGATATATGTACAAATGTGAATGATAACTTAAACTTTATAGACCCCGGCCTCGTCACGTGTTGAATTTACCGCCACGTCATCACATCCGTGTGTTATTCTTCCATCGTGCTCCAAGCTTCAAAATAATACAAAGTATGACCATGAACCCGAAAAACAAAAGGAGAAATTTTATATATAAAAAAAAGCAGGAGAGAAAAAACCGCAAGCACTTCTTCTCTCTCACCCTCCTTTTATATAACCTTAGTCACCATTGCCGTTGACAAACCAAGCTCTCTCTCTCTCTCTCTCTTGTTTCTATGGAAGCTCTTAGCTTTATGAAGTTTTGGCGACCAAACGGAAGGGCCCGCCGGGAAATCAAAATACCCGACGTAGTCAATGGTTTCTCCGCCGCATTTGACGACCCAAAAGTGGAAATCGCCGAAGGAGACGACTCTTTGTTCGAGCTTGAGCTCTCTCTCTTCGATTTCTATCTCAATGACAAGAAAACCCTGAAAGAGTCCACAAACCCAGACAGAATAGAGACGAAGACGACGCCGTGTTCTGTCTCTTCGACCGACCATTTCTCCAAGAACAAAGTCATCCCCGTCGAGATCGGCCCGAAACCACATTCTCCGATTGCCCTCTTGAAATCGAGTCCTAAGTTCCGAGCTTTCTCCTTCAAGAAGCCGAAATCCGTCGAATCGGAAAAGTCAACGCCGGAGAAGAAAGAGAGCGGCAAGAGCCTCGATGCCAACGAGACGAGCTTCAGGAAAACAACACGCATTGCGAGACCACGTCACGGAGACGACACGGTGTCGAGGAGAATCCTCAGCATGATAAAGCCGTTGTACGGAATGACGGCGAAGAGACAGGGCACGAAGGAGAACGGTGTCGAAGTGGCGCCGTCTCCGGCGATGGAGAAACAGAGGAGCAATGCCGCGGCGGGGATTCGAACCGTCCGGCGACATCTGGGGAAGAGCCGGTCGGCGTCTACGGCTGTCGGAGCGATGTCGCCGGCGAACAGGGTCGACGAGTCATTGCAAATCCAACAAGATTGGATCCAAGGCGCCATTCTTCATTGCAAGAAGTCCTTTCACGGTTCAAGAGGTGGTGACAGATTCGATTAAATATCCGATTTCTGATGGGTTTTGACTCGAAATTTAATGGGTTTTTTTTTCCTTTGGTACCAGAATCTTCACAGTTACTGCGATCCACGAGTGATCCTCCTTCGCAAGAGAAATTGAGTTCGTCGTCTTCTGAAGGTTCATCTGATTTCCATTTCATAGTGGCGTCATGATTAAATTGATGATCTCTGATTTCTTTTCTTTTTTTTTTCTGTAGATTCGTACATATTTTCAAGAACTGCAAGCGATTCCATGTCGGAGAAATCAATCGATAGCCAGACAATCAATGTCCCTTGAAGAATCACTGTTTCTTGTTTCGTAATATTAGGTTGTGTAAATTAATCGATACATACATATATACATATATAAACACATATTTTTCCTTCGTCGCGATTTTGAAAATTACAGGGTTAAAATTGCGGAGGAGAAATCAATGGATACATACATACATACATACATACATACATACATACATACATACATACATACATACATACATACATACATACATACATACATACATACATACATACATACATACATACATACATACATACATACATACATACATACATACATACATACATACATACATACATACATACATACATGGATACATACATACATACATACATACATACATACATACATACATACATACATACATACATACATACATACATACATACATACATACATACATATACAAATGAAAAGATTAGTGTTTTAAATGATGGATCGTGTGTGTGTGTATAATTCCCGCGCATTTAAGTATATTAATGGAAAGCTAAAGTGATTTCATAATTTATTTTCCTTTAGATAGAGTGCAGTTGTAATTTTACAAAACTAAATTACGCAATTTTAGTATTATTCATAAATTATTAAAAAAAAATATTGTGCTTGTTGTCGAGTTCCTTGTGATATTCACAGTTGAAATCATCAAAGTTTACTCCATTTTTTTCTGAAATTTAATTTATTCCATTTGAAAATTCCAGATCACGTTTGTAGGCAGCACGAATGGCAAATATTCGTATGCTTAGAAAAAATATATATATAATTGAAGCGAAATGAAATCGTCAGAAAAATATTTATTATTGTCTATTAAAAACAGCTCGAATCGAGTCCCGCCGTGGTGGTCTGGTGGCGTGGGAGCACAAAGTGCTTCTCCACGTCTCAGGTTCGAACCCCACCGGGACAATCACATCATCAAAAAAAAAAACAGCTCGAATCGAATTAACTATTCAAATCGTATATATACACACGCATAATATATACAAACACGTATAGATAATATATTTGTGGAGAAATTGGAGTCCATAAATGTTTACAAGTCTACGTGGAAATTACTAATAAATCTATATGATATAATGGTTAAATCTTTATTTAACTTTTAACTTCATGGATTCTCTAACTAATTTTAGAATATTTTTTTATAATTTTATTTGCGTGATTGGGAATATTCGTTGTAAGTTTAAACACTATCGTCTCTTTTTATATTTTCCTCACGAATTTACCTTTTTATTTTATTGTAAATATTGTTTATGTTCGCACAACTGATTTATATCCTGGATGGATAGAGATACACATATACAAATATTTTTATGATTTAGATTAGAAAATATTTTTATAAGATATAAATTTTATTTATTTATATATATATATATATATATATATATATATGGTTCTGAAATCCACAAAAATATAATGACCTCCTCAAATGAAATTTTGACCAAAGAGGGTCCTAATAATTCTTCTTTTTAATCATTTTTTTCAGATTCAGAATGCATCCCTACTTTGATCCAAAGAAAATGAAAATATATTAGTTGTTCACGAGCAACATATATATACTTTGAAATTTTATTTCACATCTGATGTACATAAATATCGATAGATATATCTGAACTTTTGGAAATAATAAAATAAATAGATAGATATTTCTTTTACCTTCAAAATGATAATTTTATATCAAATTATTCGTTGAATATGATCCATTGAATGTATTATAAAATGAAATTCCAAAATATTATATTTTTGTTTCTTACTATCAAATAGGATTTTTTCCGCATCGTCGGACGGTGTAAGATGATATTCTCCTGACTATTCAAATTGCGATGTGAATTCCAAAGTATAGTTTATCAAGAGATATAAAATATTATCGTAATATTTAGATTTGATATTTTTATTGATTAAATAAGATATTATGTGATTCTATTTTCTATTTATTATAATGGTTTATGTTGAATAATGAAAAATCAAATGATTATCAACTTTTTCTCTATAATGGTATCAGAGCATGCACCACTAAACGTTGTGAGGATTTCTACATCCGACTTTTAACCCTTTCGATTGGAAAACTCCGATCGTTGACCTACGCATTTGCGCTATTTATTTTCTTTTTCTGGCATAGTCGCTAAACCATCACGTCTTACCCATTTGCGCTATTTATTTTATTTTTCTGGCATAGTCGCTAAACCATCGTGTCTTTTGCACCGCCGACATTGCTGTCGTCTACACTGTAATATCGTGCATCTGCACCGCGCATCTGCCCCTCAAATTTTTTTTTCTTTCTTCCAACCTCGTTGCTAAATTACACGCATTTGCGTCGCGCTTTTGCGCCCTTTATTTTTTATTTTGCGCCAGTATTGTTGTCCTGTTATCCATCTTCATCATCATGCATCTGCACCATGTTTTTGTGTCACACCGAACTTTTTAGATCCACTAACAATCCACTGTTTACCCAGGTTCGATTATCGAATCCCGCTATATTTTCTTGATAATTCAAATTTAAGCAGATGTTTCTCATCTCTTTGATTTTGAGGGAATGTATAAAAGGATATAGAGAATATCTTCGAAGATATCAAGAGTGTAAAATATTATCTTAATATTTAGATTTGATTATATATATTGATTAAATAAGATATTATGTGATTCTATTCTATTATTTGTAATGATTTATGTTGAATAATGAGATATTTTTCTATTATTTGTAATGATTTATGTTGGATAATGAGAAATCAATTCTCCACTTTTTTTCTATTATAATTAAATTGTTGGGAGTATTGTTTTTAGATCATTTGTAATATATATTATTACAACATCTTCCAGGGATTAAGCACACTCCCTTTCTCGGTTCAACCATGGTGTACATTTTGTAAGCGCTTAGGTTTTTTTCTTTATACTTTATAAGTATAGATAATGAGAGGAGAAGAAGTATAAAAAAATACTCTATGAATACTCTTTGTATTTCTTTTCTTTTTCTTGTGTTTTGTTGTTATTAAAAACAACTTCAACCTCCACATATTTATACTACTCTTGATAACATTCTAGTTCTAATAATAAATCTAGTCTAAACAATAATTATTTTGAACACATCATTCTATGCTTTGAACACATATTCCTATATCACAAAATTCTAGGAATAAGTTTAATTTCCAATATTAGCCTCCCTTAAACTTGTTCCTCCTTGAACTTGGACTCCAAGCTTATTCCGAAAAGGTTTCAACTTATCTTTCACTTTGATCCACTTCTTCTTCCTGTTAACTTCTTCAAATCCAGCAGATACATAGAAATTAGTAAACTCATCATCAAACATGGATTCTATCGGTTGAGTTGTATCATAAATCTCCTGAATGCTTTTCATCTTTCTCACGGGTGAGTTACTAGAATCGCCGTTATCAAAACGGTTCTGGATAACTCGGAATGGTGAATTTTCCTCAACTTCTTCGAGAATGATTCTTTGCGATTGACTGCTTCCGTTCCAATCCCAACTTTTCTCCTCATCAAATTCAACATCTCGAGACATTATAATTTTGTGAGTTTCGAGATTATACAACTTGTATCCCCTGCAATTTTCACCATAACCCAAAAATATGCATTTCTGACCTTTATCCTCAAGCTTTGTTCGCATTTCTTCCTGCACTTTTGCATATCCCACACACCCAAAGATTCTGAGATGATCAATCTTCGGTTTTCGTAAGCTCCAAGCTTTCTCCGGTGTCATGTCTTTGATTTTCTTCAATGGAAATCTGTTCAACAAATAAACAGCATATGCAACAGCATCTCCCCAAAACTCCTTAGGGACTTTTCTCTCATTAAGCATACATCGGACCATATTCAGTATAGTCGTGTTCTTCCTCTACGAAACTCCGTTTTGCTGTGGTGTTTGAGGCATAGTGAGCTTATGAGAAATCCCGTGTTCCTTGCAAAAATTCTCAAAATCGTTTGATGTATACTCTCCTTCACGATCAATCCGCAGGTACTTGATTTGGCATCCACTTTGTTTTTCCACCATACTCTTGAACTCTTTGAATTTGGTAAAAACTTCACTTTTCTCCTTGAGCATATAGATCCATGTCTTTGCACTATAATCATCAGTAAATGTCAGAAAATATCGATTATCTCTATTCGATGCGGGATTGATGGGTCCACAAACATCCGAATGCACCAGCTCAAGGTGACATGCTGCGCTCCATGACTTGTATGTCGGAAACGACTTCCTTTGCTATTTTCCCATAACACAAACTTCGCACAGATTGTTAGGAGCTGCAATCTTGGGTAACCCAATCAGTACGAAAAAAAAGGCCAAATTCCAACGGATTTTTCCAACGGATGCGTCCTTTGGAATATTTCCAACGGATTTCCAACGGCCTTCCGTTGGAATAATTCCAACGATTTTCTAACGGACTTCCCACGGATATCTAACGGACGCATCCGTTAGAAATCCGTTGGAAATTTCCAACGACAATTCAACGGATATCAGAGTTGGAAATTTTCAACGCAAATTCCAACGGCATGCCGTTGTAAATAACATTCGACAATTTCCAACGGTCACCCGTTGGAAATATCTGAACGTTATGAAATGCGGCAAAAATTCCAACGGATAAACGTTCGAGTTATTCCAACGGATATCCGTTGGAAAGTTTAACGGTCGATGCAATTTCAACGGATTTCTAACGGACATCCGTTGGAATATTTGTCTATTTAAACCATCCGGCCATTTTTCTCCCAAACCACTCTCTAAATCATTCTTCTAGTATCCTTACACCAAAAATTCTCCTAAAAATGGCTTCTTCAACAAATCCGAATATTTGTTCGTCCAGGCAATGGATATATGAAAGAGTTGATTCGATTACAAAAGAGGTAACGCAAGAATTCATTATCGGTTTGGAACAATTTATGAATTTTGCTTCCATGCAGCCGTTGTGCCAAGAACGTGGAAAAATGTTATGTCCATGTACAAGTTGTCGCAATTTTAAATATCGCAGTCCAGAAGATGTTTGTAAAATCTATTTCGAAGGGGATTTATGGGAGATTATTATATTTGGCGATTTCATGGAAAAAAAGTTCGGACAATCACAACGGGACATGTGTCGGCCGAGTAGAGGT